GGGAGACCAGCCAAGGGCCCTGCATTTACCTGGGCTGGAGTCCAGGGGCACTTGCTAAATGTCTGACTATGAAGTTTGTGCATTTAGTAGGAAGCTCTGGGAACGCAGGGACTCAGGCTTGTTCATTGCCATTTGCCTAATGTGAGGCAGAGAGCAGGTGAGCATTTGTCCAGTGAATATGACGGTGCCCCTGAGGAAGCCAGCAGCTCCTTACGAGGCTTGGGAAGGGGCTTCCTCTGCGCTGGACTTTGGGGTGCTGCCTTCAAAGCTGCTGTTCTCTGCTGTGGCTCAGAGGATGGCTCACTCTACTATCTTTCACTTGTCTGTGTCCTGGCGTAGAGGGAAAGAGATGGGATCGGGGGCCCCTGCCTTTCAGTTTTGACTCAGCCATGTCTGGCTGTGTGACCTTGGGCAGGTTGCTTCACCTTTCTGAGCCTTAGTTGTGAAGTAGATGTCTTGATGCCTATTTCATGGTAGTTAAGAGATGTCCGGGTGAATATGCCTGGAATATAGTAGGTGTTCGATAGCTGGTGACTGATCTGTTGGTCTTGTTCCTGCCAAAGGCCAGTATGGTAATCTTTGTTGTTTGTTTCTTGAGACAAGGTCTCTATATGTAATTCAGACTGGCCTTGAACTCAGTGTGTAGCTCAGGCTGGCCTCCAACTCTTAGCAATCCTCCTGCTTCAGCCTCCCAGTTCTGGGACTACAGGCATGCATCAGCACACCCAGCTCCAGCGTCGTATTTGATTATGGTCCCCAGTGCCCTAGCGCACACCTTCTCCACAGACAAGGGATGGTCCAGTCCAGCCTGTTCCCTCTGCCTCTTTCTCAGGCTTAGAGCCCCGGATGCAACTGCAGCTGATCTGTCACCACCCCCCTTCCCCCACTAAGGCCACAGCTGCAGGACAGAGTCCACCCTTCCACCCTGATTGCTCCTTCCTGGAGGGGAGAAGGAGGGGGGCACACCCCAGGGTGTGGCCTGGGAAAGGCTGGAGCCTGTGGACACATTGTCCCCCTTCCCAGATGTGTGCAGTTGGTGGGCTCTGGGAAATGGGAGGCGTAGCCAAGTGGCTCCCAGGGGTGCAGGAAGATGTTGGTGCATCTTGAGGGGAGCAGCAGAGGGGAGTCCTGAAAGCCCCTCCTCCCCTAGGTCCAACTATCGAGGCAGGACCTTGCCCTGGGAGCTGCGGCCAGGCCTGCAGCCGGTCTTCCTTCACCGGGGCTGATGGGCTGCACAGCTGAGGTCTGGCCCAGGCTTCTTAGAAACAGGACTAGGGAGGAGGAGGGCACTCGAGGCGGGGCGATCTTGCCTCGCCCTGTGCGTTAGGCTTGGGCTGTCGGTTAGATGTGCCCCCTGCCCGCCAGGCCGGGTCACTTCCCCGTGTCTTGTGTTTTAACACTTGGCACCTTTGTCCATCTTCTTCCAGTGCCAGTTGGTCGGCAAGGGGAGCAGCCAGGGGCTGGGCACGGGGGAGACTTCCCAGGTGGCCTCGGGTGACCCCACAGATGCTCTCTTGGGGTGGGGCTGGGAATTCCCAGCTGCCCCTGGCCCCTTCCCAGCCCACCTCCGGGCCCCACCCCACTCCTCCCTTCCCTGCCTGCCATGGTGCTGCCCCCAGGGGCCAGCTCCAGCCCCCCTCCTCACCCCAGCTGACTCATCCCTCTCCTCGTTTCCACATAGTTGGGAACTGGGATCATGCCTCTTCTTGGATCCCTCACTAGGCTGATGGATTGAGATTTGGCCTCATAAATCCCAGCCGCTGTCATTTTAACAGCTCTTCTTCTTCCTTTTGCCTTCCTGTGACCCTTGGGTCAGAGGAACAGAGACCTAGGAGTTTCCCGAGGATAGGCCAGGCCCTTCTCTGCCCCAGGACCTAGACGGTCTCTGCCTCAGAGACCCCAGTCACCAGGCTCACACCTTCTCTTGATTAAAGCACCACCTGTCTTGAGCCAGCCTAACACAGGACTCTTTCCTGCGGGGCATCAGCTCCTTAGTCCTCACAGTGGTCTTTGGAGGCATTGTGATGTCCACTTTGCAGAGGGGAAAACTGAGGCATGGGGATGGGATTGCTGGCCATTGTCCACCCAATATGTGGTGCATCTTGGAGTGGAGCCCAGGTTATTCAGCTTTCACAGGAGAAAGTTGTCATTCTTTCCAGGTCTGTCATTCCTTCTTTGTCATTCCGTCTGGGTGCAGCCTATTGGCACCGGAGACCCGGGGAGGGCTGCCTGGAGGAGGCGGGTGTGGGCTGGCCTTGGCAAGCTACATGTCTGCTGCACAGGTTTAGCAGGCTCTTGCCTCTTGTATTGGGTGCCTTTTTGCCGCTTGGCTTCCATCTCATCAGTAATGTTCCCCGGGGGATGGATTTGGCGGTCCCTGGAACTGAGGCTCCTCCACTCTGGGAACCTGGATCCTTCTTAGTTAGGTCCCAAGCTCCCCATAGGACCCAGAAGTTTTGTGCTGTTGGGAGCTCAGTGCGTTTTTGCTGAGTAGGGCCTGCTCTGGGCCAGCTCGTGGGCCTCTCAGTACTGGGGGTTTGGGCGACATACAAGACACAGAAGCAAGTGGCCCAGCCAGGAGGTGGAGTCTGCATACAAGTTGAAAACTGTCATTAGAGAAACTCTGCAGGGGAGGAGGAGGGGAGATTCAAGAATCTCTCCGTCTAGCCTTCCTTCCCATCCATTTTTGTTCACTCATTAGTTCCCTTGCCTGAGGACCTACTAATGTCTGTGTGATCACTTCTTTGTGGCCAGGATTGTGCACCTATTTCCCAGGTGAGAAATAGCACAGAAAGCGGTGACTTCCCCAAGACCCCAGAGCCAGGTACGGAGGAGGTGGGCATGGAGCCAGCGTCACAGTCCTCCAGAGGCGCAGTCCCTGCCATGTCAGAGCTTTGGGTCTTGTTAGAGAGACAAGACTCACGTCCCCTATGTCCCAGCATGACTTGGAGTCCACACAGTCCCAGACTGTCAGGGGAGGGGAAGAGCGGTTCACCAGGAGGCATTCGAAAGGCTTTCTGGAGGAAGTGGGCTTCAAGAGCGTGGAGGATTTGCCGGTGGAGGAAGACAGCACGGGCAGGGGTCCAGGAGTTGTCCCCTGGACCCCGGATCCACTTTGTCTGCATTGTTGTTGGGTATGCAAGAGCAGGAAGGCCTCCACTTGCTGCCGGAGTCATTAGAGCTGGGCAAAGAATGAGAGGAAGTCCCCCAGACAGTGGAGAAGACAACCCCTCCACCCTGTACCTGGCCAGACCAGCAGGCCAGAGGTCAAGACCTGGGCCTGCACTTAGTTGCCAGCCAGTGACCAGCCCTCTTCCCTGGGCCTCCGTTTTCCTACGTATAGAATGGGCTCATTGCTTTCTCTTTGGCCATCAAGTAAGTCTGAGGAAAGGGAACTTTGCGTTGCCTCAGAAGTTGGTCTGTTTTCTAGGGTCCGCCCTACTTTCCAGTGCCACCTCCCCCTTCATTGATGCCATCAGCTCACAAGTACCAGACCCTGAAATAAATGATGGAGACCTCACTGCACCCTTAGATCTCCTGGAAACCTGTCCTGTCCCCTTGTGATCTGCTTGCGTGGGTCACCTCTAGGCCTCTGGGTCCCTGGTGCTGAACCAACAGCCAGGGACATCATCAGTGTCTGGTTAGTGAGTGAGCCCTGCGGCAGCAGTCGTAAGATTCCCAGTGCAGATTGTTAGCTCTCTGAGTTTAATCTTTCCATCGCTTGTTCCTTCAGCAAACATCCATGCTCTGCTGGCCCAGTGCCAGGCGCAGTGAAGGGTCGCAACACCCAACACCACCTGGGCAGAAGGAGTTTGCAGTCAGTGTGAAGGAGCAGGGGGGAGGAGGCCAAATTGGAGAGGAGGAAGACCACTGATCCTGACTCTGGTCATCTCAATTTAGGAAGGATGGGGTGGGCCCCAGAGCTTGGGGTGGGGCTCTGTGGCACTGGGGGGGCGAGGGAGGTGAGGGGGGTACACCTGTGCTGTGCTTTTCTCCCACTTTCCTTCCTCTTTTCTCTCCCCGCTTTCCTGGGTCGGGGAGGATGGATTTGGCTTGAGGTGGGAGGAAAGGGTTAAGTGAGCCTGATTTCCCACCTCCCTGGCAGGCAGGGGTGGGGGAGAGGGACAGGGACACCGGGGCAGGAATGTGTGATAAGATCAAAGCTTTCCTTCTGCCTGGGCCTCACCCGGGTTTCACCTGAGCGATTGAGGGGAATTCTCTAGGCTGGAGGCGCTGGCTGGCCTCTTGGGGGAGGGGTTGGCCCATGTCCCCCTGCAGCCTTCCCCCTCTCCCCTAAAAGGCCACCTCTGGCCCTGGAGGGTGCTGGCAGCCCAAAGAGCCCCCTGTACTGCCACGTAAGACTGCTGGGTCACTAGGGGCACACTCTGTCCTGCCCCTCCCTGGTTCCCGCACACTGGGCTCCTGAGCTCCGGCGTGGAGCTGAAGATCTTCCCAGAGCTCCCCACGGCTGAGGGCCCGCACCACTGAATTCCGGTCCATTTCATTCTGCAGGGGAAAGAGGCACAGCCCTGAGTATTGTCCTAGCTCTGTCACCTACTGTTGTGTGACCTTGGGCTGGGGCTTAACCTCTCTGAGCCTTATCTCTCAGGTAGGAATGGTGATGCCTGTTCTGCAGGGTTTTACAAGATTAGAGATTGTACAACTCATTCACAGCCGAATAGGCATTTTATAAATAACGGGAACTGTTGCTCTGTGATTTTCTTGTCCCCTCTTCAAGCTTGCCCATAGCACCTAGTCCAAGGGAAACCCAGGGGCCTTGTTTGCCTTCCCAGTGGCTGTAAGCCTCAGGTCTGTCATCCCTCTGTGGGAGGGGACCAACGCAGGGAAGGTTCTGATAAAGCCTTGATAAAGCCCTTTAGGTGCCCCTGGGTGCCTCCACGCTAGTGATGGCAGCTTGACACCCTCCTCTGGAGACCTGAGTGGCCGTGCCAGGCTCTCCGCTCCAGTGCCTAAGGCCTCACCAGCCCACTGTATGGCTACAGAGTGGCCCCAGGATGCATCAGGTGAGAGAAGCTACCCCTGGGGGTGCTGGGCCCAGCTCCGCCCTGCTTTCTGCCCGCCCTGCCCTGGTTAATGATTGCCCTGGGCTCTGGAGAGTTGCCCTCCCAGTTCCTTAACCACTGGTTGCACGGAGGCAAGGCAGTCAGCAGCCTGGGTGTTCCCTGCTTTAATGTGGCAGCCCTGCTCGGGCAGCTGGGTGGGGGAGCAGGGGCCTGGATTCACAGACTGACTGCAGCTCATGCCCCCTGGGTGCTGGGACTGAGGTAGGGCCCACAGGGTTCAAGCGGAAACCATGAACTATCATAGAAACACACCCCTGTGGTTAGTGGGAGCAGACCTTACACTAACACTTCTAGCACAGCCACCCTGCTTTACAGAGGAGCCCCAAGTGGAAGGTGGCATGGTTAGGGCTTTAGAGAAGCAGAGCTTGGCTTGTGGCCCAACTCTGTTGGTTCCGGGATGTATGACCTTGGGCGAGTCACTCCACCTTGCTGAGCTCCTGTTTCCTTATCTGAAGGAAGGTGATAACTAACTCCCACCTGGAAAGTGGCAGCCAGCCAAAGTGTGGGAAGCCGTCAGTACCTGAGGAATTAATAATTTTTGCTCTTTGGAGAAAGTGAAAGTCGAATCCTAGTTTCGGGCAACCAGGGCCGCAGTGCATACTGGGGATGAGCTGGAGAGTTTGGCGGGTAGAGGAGACGCACAGGGAGAGCCCAGGCATGCGTCTGAAGAGGATATGTGAGAGTGGACTGGAAGGAAGAACTTGGGGCCCGGGACGACGCCCAGTCACTGGAGACCCACCCCAGTTCTCCCAGACTGGGTTCCTCTTCCAGCTGGGTCCTGAGGCTGGTGCAGTCCAAGAGTGGGGGAGGAGGGAGAATATTTTGATAGCATTAGGGCATTTTCCCCTACTGGCAGCTGCTATTTTGAGAGCCCTGGAGAGCAGGGGCGATGGTTAAATTAGGTAATGTTGCTCCAGAAGGAATGTGTGAAGCCCTCACTGAGGCAGCCGGGAGAGGACAGGCGTTGACTCCACATAAAATTAAAATTAACCTGCAGCATGGAGAAGAGCAGCTCTTTCGGGTGGACGCTTTATAAGGCGATGGAGGGGAGGCCCCTGGAAGCCGCCGCTGGGGAGTGGAAGTGGTGGCCCAAGGCCTGTTTTGGGCTGGCCTTGCCTGCAGGCAGTGGAAGGGCTGGGCTGGTGAGTCCCCAGTTCTGCGCTGAGGCCACTGCTTGAGGTGGGTGGGGCCTGGGATGGTGTGATGCCTGGGAGGACCGATGGGCAGATTTGGCCTTGGGTGCTGCTTCTGCCTCTTTTTTTTTTTGGTTTTTTTCCTGGTACCGGTAATTGAACTCATGACCATGCGCTTGCTGCCGTGCCGCTAAGCTAAATTCCCAGCCCCAGCTTCTGCCTCTTTTTGGCCCTGTGCTTGGTCAGGCTGCTGGGCCTCGATGTCAGCAGCAGTGACAGACATTTCTGTCACCGAGGATGGCTTCTTCTAGGGAAAGCAGTGGAAGAAAAGGCATACTAGCTTCTGTGGATCGCCTCCTGTGTGCCGGGTGTGGTTCCAGTGCCTCTGTGTGCCCGGGCCTTGGGCCTTGTCTAGCAGTTCTTCAGAAATGCAGGATCCTGGGCCCCACCCAGACCCTCTGAGTCCCAGTCTGCACGCTTAGAAGATTCCCAGGCGATTATGGTGGATGCTAGCATTGGGGAAGCGTCATTTCACACATGCTTGTCCTGTTCTGTCCTGAAAAACCATCCCTCTGATGTAGAAATTACAGTTATCTGACACTATGAAAACATGGCCTGGAGAGGCAGCCCAGGATGATAACGTGGGGACTGCAGTGGTGTTCTCACTGTGCAGCTTCTCCCCGCCTTCCCTTCGGGGATGGGGTGCAGGGCAGTTCTTTGTCCAAGGCCCCGGCAGGAGTGGAGAGAGTCAAGGTATTGGCCGCCTCTAAGGCCCTTCTCTCTTGCCACAGCTCACCACGGCTGGACAGAAGTCATCTCCCCACGGTCATCCATACGCCTCGGCCTTAGACAAAGCAGGGCAAGACAGCGCCCTGCCCTGTAGATCAGGGAGAGAGAGAGCCCAGTGGGGGTGGGAATCAGAGAAGGACTGGGCTGGGCTTCGCTGCAGTGTTGCCTGCCCCTTGTCACTGGTATGCCAGGCCTGAGTCCATCTGGGAGCAGATATTTGAGGAACATCTGCTGTGTACCCAGCCCTGGGGAAGCAACCTAACTTTATTCTCAATTTTATGGATAATCCCAGCACTGGGATAGATGATATAGGAAGATCTCAGCAAGTCCAAGGCCCGCTTGGACTATATAGTGAGTTCAAGGCCAGTCTGAACTGCAGAGAGACCTTGTCTCAAAAAAAAAGTTTTACTTAGCACTTAGCATGTGCCACATGCTGTACTAAGCACTTGACTTGAATTACAGTATCTATTTTCTTTATTTTTTTTCTGGCTTCTGTATAATGACTATAGTAACATAATAATAATCCCTGACTCATGTGATTGTTGTGAAGATACTATTTGTCAAGAGTCTGGCATGTAGTATTTGTTCAATAAATGTGATAAATACCAATAGTCTCCCCAAGAAGGCAAATACTATTCCCATTTTACAGATGAACAAATTGAGATCTACAGTAAGGATCTCTGTATTGAAAGGATTTGCCTACAGAGATCATAGGAGATTTTTTTTTTTTTTTGGTCTTTTTGAGACAGGGTCTCTCTATGTAGCTCAGGCTGGCCTTGAGCTCACTTTGTAGCCCAGGCTGGCCTCGAACTCGCAACGATCCTCCTGCCTCAGCCTCCCGAGTGCCGGGATTGCAGGTGTGCACCTCCATGCCCGGCTCGATCATAGGAGATTGAGGCAGAGCCATGAGAAATTGAGTTCCCAAACTTGTAAGTTAATATAACAATCCAATTTAATTTAGTAAATATTTGCTTTTGATCATGAGCTGGTGGGCATTGAGAAGTATCTAAAGGATATATGTGATATGTACATACATGTGTATGTGTATATAATTAATAAAAGAAAAGCCAGCCTGTTGTCTGCCTCCAAGAAGCTTTGGGCCCAAAGGAGAATAGAGTGATCTAAGCGACTCAAGTGATCTAAGAAATGAAGGCCTAGTGCTGGGTGTGGCGGCACACACCTGTAATCCCAGCACTCAGGAGGCTGAGGCAGGAGGATTGTTGCGAGTTCAGGATCAGCCTGGGCTACAAAGTGAGCTCAAGGCCAGCCTGAACTGCACAGCAAGACCCTGTCTCAAAAAGACAAAAAAAAGAAATGAAGGTCTGTAGCTGTGTGAGGGGAACAGGGCTTTGGGGAGATTCCAGAGTGTGGGCAGGGATAGACCTGGGCTGTGGAGAAGGGAGGAGCAGGGACAGGGCAGTGAATGGGCTCTGGACTCTGGTTGTCAGTGGCCCTGACGGGGTCTGGGGTGGTGGGGTGGGGAGAACACGCCCAGCGTCCTCACCCTGGAATCCTCCCAGTGTTCGCAGCGGCTTGGCTCCCCAGCCAGCTGGGCTATCCATCCCATCATCTTTCTGCCCTTTCTTCATGCCGCAAAATCAAAGACCTTTCTTAATGGCCCGTCAGAGCTTCTGGTCAGCGTGTGATAACGGCTGTAGCAGACAGAATTCGAGCCAGAAGCAAGGAGACTTGACGCCTTGATTAGTGAGCAGGCCGCCTTATCGCCCGCACATGGACAATTTCCGCAAGTCTTTCCAGCATGGACAATGACCCTGGGTGGGAGGCACTGAGCTGGGTCCAGGCCTGGTTCTGACATCGCATCTGTGGCTTACCAGCTGTGTGCCCTTAGGCCAGCCTCAGTTTCCCACTTCCAGGCTTAGTTTTTTTTTTTTTTCTTTGAGACAGAGTCTCTCTATGCAGTTCAGGCTGGCCTTGAGCTCACTTTGTAGCCCAGGCTGGCCTCGAATTCGCAACAATCCTCCTGCCTCAGCCTCCCGAGTGCTGGAATTACAGGCGTGCGCCACCCCGCCCTGCTCCAGGCTTAGTTTAAGGACTGGTGATGGTGCCGTCAGCACTGTCCAGCGTGGTAGCCACTGGCCAGGTGTGATTGTTTAAATATAAAATTTAATGAAATAAATTTCAATTACAAGTGCTGGGTGGTCATGTGGCCCCTTTGGGGGATTGTGCAGATATGGGCCGTTCCCACCTCAGCAGGAAGATGTCTAGGGCAGCGCGGTTTTGTAACGTGGGGTGCACACCTGCAGCTGCTCCGGTCACCTCGACTTTCCCTGTCCCATCTAGAGCCACTCCAGGGTTTGGTGGTGGCAGGCAAGACTGCCCCTCTCGTGGCGCTGGCCCGTCTGAGCTTTCTTCACAGCAGCTGGGGAGAAATCTCCCCTCACCAGCTGTCACCGTAATGCTGAAGAATCCATGACTTGGCTCCAGCCAGTCCCTCTGTGTTTCCCACCCTCTCCCCAGCCTGGCTCTGCTCAGCCGCTGCTCAGCTGCCGGTATCTGGGTGTTCTGTGTCCAAGCTCTGAGGTTCTCAGTGCTCATTCCCAGCGGGGGAGGAGAGAGGCCTTCCTTCATCCCGTGCCTGGTCCCAGCTCCCGGCAGGGGTGCCGGCTGCCCGGACCCCTCAGCAGGGCGGAGAGGATAGTTTGTTGTGACGGGGGCAGTGGCAGCCTGCCCGCTCTGACGTGCCTGTAGCTGGGTGCCGGCTGTGCTGTTTGCACTTGGCTGGGCCTCACGGTCTGGCCCGGCGCCCGTGAGGGCTGGCCTGCCCTGGTACCCTGGTAACAAAGGCCGCTCATGGTCCTCCATCTGCTTGGGTCCACAGGGAGCCGCTCCTGGTTTGGTCCTAGGCCCGAGGGGCCATATCTGCCACCTGGACACAGGTGTGGCTGGGCCCTGGGTTCTGAGGGGAGCCGAGGCCCAGACAGGCACAGGGAGGATGCAGACCCTTGGAGGCCAGCAGTAGGCTGTTCAGGTGGGTACGGTCTGTACCTGCATTCACAT